TGTTTTTTGTTTTTCATCATGGTAGAGATCTGTTTGGTTTTGGTTTGTTTAGTTGTTTTTTGTTTTTCATCATGGTAGAGATCTGTTTGGTTTTGGTTTGATTTAGTTGTTTTTTGTTTTTCATCATGGTAGAGATCTGTTTGGTTTTGGTTTGCTTTAGTTGTGGGTTTTTTAATTTCAGTTACAGATTGTTAGGTTTTATACAATTAACTGAAATACCTTCTGGGTTAAAAAGAAATACAGACGAGGAAATGTTGTGGAATTAATAAGTAAATGGTATTATGAGCAGTATTACTGAGCAGTATGTCTGTTTTGTCTCTGTTTATTTTGTAGTATGTCTGTTTTGTCTCTGTTTAAAGTGTGTGCATGCGTGCGTGTGTATGTGTGTATGGGTGTGCGTGTTCGTGAGTGTGTGTGTGTGTGTGTCTTGTTTTGTCTCCATATGTCTGTTTTGTCTCTGTATGTCTTGTTTTGTTCCTGTATGTCTGGATTGTCTGTGTATGTCTTGTTTTGTGCCTGTATGTCTGGATTGTTTGTGTATGTCTTGTTTTGTCTGTGTAATGAGCAGTATGTTTATTTTTCTCTGAATGTTTTGTTTTGTCTCTGTTTATAATGTGTTTTTCTCTGTATGTCTTGTTCTGTCTCTGTATGTCTTGTTCTGTCTCTGTATGTCTTGTTCTGTCTGTATATGTCTTGTTTTGTCTCTGTATGTCTTGTTTTCTCTCTGTATGTCTTGTTCTGTCTGTGTATGTCTTGTTCTGTCTGTATATGTCTTGTTTTGTCTGTGTATGTCTTGTTTTGTCTCTGTGTATGTCTTGTTTTGTCTCTGTGTATGTCTTGTTTTGTCTCTGTGTATGTCTTGTTTTGTCTCTGTATGTCTTGTTTTATCTCTGTATGTCTTGTTTTGTCTCTGTATGTCTTGTTTTGTCTCTGTGTATGTTTCAGCTCCCGGAGTCGGATGTGACGGGCTTTGCTGTGGTGACGATGAAGTATCTTCTCGCCACTGGTCTCTTTATCTGCTACTGCTTTGCCGAGTTTCACGACCACAAGCCACCGGTAGGTTCACAGACGGAATGATAATAAGATAAGATAAGATAAGATAATACTTTGTTGTCCCAGAGGGAATTTTTTTTGGTTGGATGGACAGACGGACGGATGGATGGACAGAAGGACAGATGGATGGACGGGCAGATGGACAGACAGACGGACGGACGGATGGATGGATGGATGGATGAATGGACGGACAGACATGCGGACGGACAGACGGACAGATGGATGGATGGACAGAAGGACAGATGGATGGACGGGGGAATGGACAGACAGACGGACGAATTTATTATTATTATTACTATTACTATTATTATTATTATTATTATTATTGTTGTTGT